TACAGGGGATAACTTCAATTCCTTTGCACTTACTTTAACATGTTCTATGAGCGAGTATGTGGTCTATTTTGGAGAACAACCCATGTGCAGCTGAAAAGAATGTGTATTCTGATTTTGTGGGGTGCAACATTCTGTAAACATCTGTTAAGTTCATTTGTTCAAGAGTTTGATTGAGTTCTAGAATTTCATTGTTTATGTCTACTTGATCTACTTGTGATAGTGGGGTATTGAGGTCCCCCACTACAATTGTATTAGTATATATGTGATTTTTCATGTCCATTAGTATTTGTTTTATACAGTTGGGCGCACTAGTGTTTGGTACATATATGTTTATGATTGTGATCTCTTTCTCCTGGATTGTTCCCTTTACAAAGATGTAGTGTCCTTCTTTATCTCTCTTAATCAATGTTGGTTTGAAATCCACTTGATCTGCAAAGAGGATAGCTACTCCTGCTTTTTTTTTTGGCTTCCTGTCACATGCAGTATTGTTTTCCACCCTTTAACTTTCGGTCTATGAGTCTCTTTTTTAATTGTGTTTCTTGTATGCAGCATATTGTCGGATCTTGCCTCTTGACCCATTCTGCTAGTCTATTTCTTTTGATTGGTGAATTGAGACCATTAACATTGATGGTTAGAACTGATAGGTATTGACTTATCCTTGTCATAACTTTTTCTTTTTGTTGGATTATCCCCCTTTGCATTTAATTTCTTGTCGTGCCCAATGGATTCATTCTGCTGGAGTTCCTGGGGTTGTGATCCAAATTAAAACAACACTGAGATCCCACCTCACACTAGAAAGAATGGCTACCATCAAGAAATCAACCAATAACAAATGCTGGAGAGGCTGTGAGGAACAAGGAAACCTTCTACATTGCTGGTGGGATTATAAATTGGTACAACCACTGTGGAAATCAGTATGGAGATTCTTCAAAAAAGTAAAAGTAGAGGTTCCATTTGACCCAGATGTTCCCCTTCTAAGTTTCTTCCCAAAAGAGTTCAAAGCATCATACCACAGTGATATATGTATACCCATGTTTATAGCAGCACAATTTATAGCTAAATTTTGGAAACAGCTCAAAGGCCTATCAACTGATGAACAGATAAAAAGGATGGGCTTTTCTAATACAATAGAATACAACTCTGTCATAAAGAAGGATAAGCTTGAGACATTTCTAACTAAATGGATGCACCTCGAGACCATACTCTTAAGTGAAATAAATTGAACATACATGTTTAAATACCACACTGTCTCTCCACTGTGAGAAATAAGGACCAAAATGTATAATAGATATTGGGAAATGGGAAGAAAATGTTCAAATGGGAAGAGGTACATAGGAGGGGACGGGGGAAAGGAAGGGATAAGAAAAAAGAGAATAGAAGGAAAAAATGGAAATAAAGCTTCTGTAAATAAGGAGGGAAAGAGGGGTTGAAGGGAGGGGAGGCCATGGAAAAAAGAAGAAAGCTAATTCTGAAATGAACATTATTTCACTAATTTGTCATTTCTAATGTTTACAACATATTAGTTTAGTGTGTCAACTTGTGTTTTTATGCCCTCTTTTTGAATAAAGTGGACTTCTTGGGCTGCAATTAAAATTTATAATATAAAGTATATAACAAAGCTTTTATTTTAAAATATTTTTCTTATAATTTTTTTTTAAAAATAGAGAGGAAAAAAGAAGGCGCAAGTTGGACATTCCCAAAGCATAGACAAGAATATCCACTAAATTTATCTTTTTTGGGGATGTGTGTGCCCGGGATCAAACTCAGGACCTTGCACTTGTGAGGCAGGTGTGGTGCCACTGAGCTAAATCCCCAGCCCTATAAATTTAAAGTTATATCTGCTATTATAAGTAATCTTACAATTGAAGTCCAGAATTTGATTGTATGAAAATAAGTAGGCTTAAAAAACAAAAAACAAAACAAAACAAAAAAAAATAAGTAGGCTTTTTTACTTACCTGAAGTAAAGTCTTTAAACTGCTGTAGGTATTCCATGGCCCTATGAATCTGACCCTGTTTGCACAGGCAAAGAAGAGCTTTCTTATGAAGGCCACATTTGCTGTAGATAATTTGAGCTAAAGCCAAACACTTGGCCTTGTTAAAAGTATCCTGCTCCCCATAATCACTAATCACATCACCAGCCTCCTCAGAAAATGTTAACCTACAGCAAGCAGATCAATAAGGCACACATTAGAGAACTCTTGATGAGTGGCTAATACTGAAATATTTGAAAATTCAATACAGTAGGACTGGATTTTTTTATAGCCTATAAAAATTCCAAGTCAATAGGCAATAAATGATGTAAGAGAAATTAAATACATCTGAGATTTAACAACAAAAATAATCAGCATACATTCCTTTGGGGGAAGACATTTTGGTGAAATTAAGACCAAGTTAAAAAAAATCTACAAATAAGGTTAAAACTTCCCTGAAAGGACTGGTGAGATTTAAAATTACAAGGTAAACAAAAATTGTCTTATAATTGGGGGTCTCAATGTTCTCAGAAGTTATCTGGAGTATACCTAGGTTCTAAACCCTATGGAAGTAAGAACTTATTAAATGTGGGTTAAAGATAATGAGAACCATTTCACCCCATAATTAGTGATAGATTTTATAGGCATTTGTATTAAAAGGAAAATAAAGTGTGACAGCACCGCTATTTTTAAAATTTTGTTACAGATTTATAAGCAACAAGAGGAAAGGATGTAACTGTGATTATTAGGGGAGTCTGAAGGAAGCAGTTATTTTAAGATAGCTTGGCTGAAAACAGCTGGGTGTGGTGGTACATGCCTATAGTCCCGCACTCAGGAGGCTGAGGCAGGATTGCCATGAGTTTGAGGCCAGCCTGGGCCACATAATGAGTTCAAGGTCACCTGAACTACATAGCAAGACCCTGTCTCAAAACAAACAAACACACAAAAACAAAAAAATGACAGCTCAGTTGAATAGATTTCATTTGTCATTAGTTTTTTACCCCAGTGCTGGGCGTGGAACCCAGGGGCTCATGTATGCTAGGCAAGTGCTCTACAACTGAGCTACATCGGCCTCATTTGTGCTCATATTTTATTATTCCATCTTCATACACAATTGCACCATCTGTACTACTGCAGTAACTCCACCTAGAAACTACCAGCATGAGCCAAAAGAACAGTTGGGTATGATTAAAAGTTTCATTCTTAATTATTGGTTATATGGAAATTGAGCTTTAGTTGTATTTTTAATTAACTGCTACAAAAAATAACATTGGCATCTGTATACATTGAACTGCTGATAACACTATAATGAAATCCTGAAACCTCTACAAAATGTCTCTATTGAAAATTCAGAAAATAAAGTGCTCTGTGTTTATTGGGGTGGGGAGCAGAAAAAAATCAGATGGCAACTTGAGTACAAATCAATGATCTGTTAAGCAATTCCTCAATTTCCACACTTAAATACCAAAATACAGGTTTTAGTACATATAATCATAACATTTCCTGAAAAGGGACAAGTAAATTAGAATCAACACAGTGGCTAGAATACCAGGACAAATGAGTAATTCCAGTATTTTAGTATTAATACCATTGTATTTTAGTACATTGTGTGCATTTAGTACATAGTGACCAGTGTATTTTAGTATTAATACCATTATTACCTCTTATTAATAATTTTATTAATTATCCTCTTTTTAATACCATTATTTTATTTTTCAAACGGTCACCACTATGATGATGCTCCATCTGTAACAATTGAGGGCTGGAAAATGGACCTAGGAACTTCCATCTCCTCCTCCACTCCCAAACACCTCATCATAATGTTTTCCTAAAGTTCTCTTGTGTACTCTTCTCACACCCCAACTACCAATTCTAAGAGGAGTCTTTCAGGAACTTCTAAAAGTGGATCTGAGAGCAAATGGGATTATATCAAATTAAAAGCTTCTGGACAGCACAAGGAAACAACCAACAGAGTAAAGAGACAACCTACAGAATGGGAAAAAAAATCCTGCCCACTATTCCTCAGAGAGAGGATTAATATCTAGACTATATGAAGACCTTATAAAAATAAGAGCTCCCCCAAATAAAAGATGCAATCAAAAGATGGGCAGCTGACCTTAATACACATTTCTCAGAAGAAGTACAAATGACCAATAAATACATGAAAAAATGACATAGCCAACACTGTTGGCTACCAGAGAGGTGCAAATTAAAACAATACTGAGATATCTTACTCCGGGAACAGTGGCTATTATCAAGAAATCAAATAATAACAAATGCTGGTGAGGCTAAGGGGAAAGAGGAACCTTTCTCCATTGTTGGGAGTATAAACTGGTGCAACCACTATGGAAATCAATATGGACATTCCTCAAAAATCACCTAGATTTCACCACCTAGAAATATCATTTGACCCAGCTATTCCCCTTATAGGTATCTTCCTTAAAGAGTTAAAGACGTCATATTACAGTGATACATCATACCCATGTTTATTACATGACAATTCATAATAGCTAAATCTTGGAAGTGGCCTTTATGTCCATCAACAGATGAATGGATGAAAAAAATATGACATTTGTATACAGAGTACTACTCTGCCATAAAGATAGACTTGAGTCATTTGAAGGAAAATGGATGCACTTTGAGACTATAATGTTATGTGAAACAAATCAGACACACAAACTTAAATACCACATGCTTTCTCTTATATGAGAAACTCAAAATATAAATAAAGAACAAAATAAAAGATAGATAAAAGGAAGTAGGGAGATATATTTTGTTCAAATGGGAAGGAGATCAAGAGAGGGAAAATATATAATTATATATTGTATATGTAATTTATATAAAATTTTTTTTAAAAAGAGATAGAGGGAAGGGAACAAGAGGAGTGAAAGATTTAAAAAGAATTAAGATGTATTATATGAATGTACCAACTCCTCAAAAGTAATGTCATCATTATGTAATGCAAACATGTACTAATAAAAATAAAAACTGAAAAAAATAAAGTTGTTTTTATAAGCTCATCAAACAGTATACATTACTTACGCATACTGTATAAATTATACCTCAATAAAATTGTAAAACCCAAATTACCGACCTAGGACCAATTGTAGTAACAGAAGCTCTGATTTTTCCCACTAACCCTTCTCTTATGAGTTTCCCAAGAATTATGATCACAGAACCTGGAGAAGTTGAGCCTGGATGGAATGAACTTAATATGAAAAACAAACAGAACTATGTTGTGCAAATGACTGACTGGGATAGATGCCACTTACATGCCCCATCCAAACCCTCTGTAGTGGGCCAGTGTACCCTTTACAGCTGCTCTGGGTGTTGGCTGCCAGTGGTTCATAGGTAACTCCCCATATTACTCTTGGCTGATGGAAGATACCTTGCCCCTGGGAATCTATGGGCTCCCACCTCCTCTAGGTAGCCCACAGCCCTTGGCAGTCTGATAAAGAAAGATAAAAGCCCAGTCCCTTGCCTAAATGGAGAACAGCTCTGTAGTATGGTTTACGCTCCACAGCTATCCTTTATAAATTAGGCCAAGCAGACTTTGTCTGAGGGCACAATGTCACTTCCCTATACTGTGTCACTCAATCCTCAGTAGGTATTTCCTGAGAAGCTCTCCCTTTATCAATCCTGTGCACCAAAATTCCTGTCTCGCTTTGGTTCTAGGAACCCAATCTATAAGAGCTAGCACAAATCTGCCAATCTGTGTTGAAACTGAGCTCCAAGAAGCCACCTCCTGTCTATTCTTGTTGGTTTATGTGTTCTAAATGTTACCCTGGTCCGTGTTCTTCCAGCTTATATATCCCACAGCCTGTCTGGAACCAGGTTCCTATCTTTCCCTCCCAAGCAGTGTGATACTGATGTTCCTTCTCCATCCTCATTGTCCAACTTCCATCCTCCAAGAATTCATCAAAAATCATTTTGTGAACTACTGTGAATCAACTCTTGTTCCGGTCTCAATGTGACTGGTCCTCATTACTCCATGAACCCTTAGTAAATACTTTCTAACTAATTAATTGCCATAAGGTCCTAAAATACAAGCTTAAATAAGGTATTGATAAGAAAACTGTTATATTTTTGAGAACTGTATTAACCAGATATGAAAACGGAGTTAAAAGATGAATTTTGCTTACTTTTCTTGGGTGACCCAGTTGATAACTAAATCAAACCTTTTTTCAGACAGTCCACATTTGATTCCTTCCAAAGTTAGATATGCATCAACAGGATATCTAAAAGCATGACTTGTGCTAAATATAGCCTCAAAAAATAAGAGTAATGGAAGAGGCTTTCCTCTTATTTTCCCAACAGCTACAAAAGAAGAAAAGTTTTGAGTCAGATACCTTAAGAAATAGTTTGGTTTTTCTAATTTCAGATTACTATTTTCATCTCTTTGTATTTTCTAAAACTTTAACATATGTATTGATTAAACTTCATACTTTGGATAATAATTAAACAGCATTATCCATCCCATGTGAAGATGGAGGTAGATATTAAAGTAATTTGTCTATAAACCAAGAGATGCCAAAAATTGCTAACAGACAACAGTAGCTAGGAGAGCTTCCTGAGAGCCTGCAGGAGGTAACAAACCCTTTGATGCCTTGATTTCAGACTTCTGGCTTCCAGAACTATGAAAAAATAAATGTATTGTGGCTGGGAATTTAGCTCAGTGGTTCTGCTGCCTGCTTTGCAAGTGGAAGGTCCCGAGTTTGGTCCCCGGTACCAATCAATCAATCAGTTTTCTAAATCATAGGACTGTCCCATTAATAATGCAAATCTGCCATGATCAGAGAAAACCTATGACTTCAAAACGAAAGATGCAGTTGCAAATACACTAAGGATAAAATTCCTCAGGCAAACTATATTGCTCTATGACCACTCAAATTAAACAAATATAAAACTAGACATTCAGAGCAACATATTTATTCAGACACACCCTGTGTAGAACAGACTATGTCCTGCTGCGAGTTACTCCATGCTACATAGAAGCATAGCTTTCAGGCTGTGCTTTGCCCCCAGTGACTCCATTTCATAACAGCAGTTTGCTCCATTTTGAGTGCAAGTGCTGAGGCAGAATAACTTGACAGCTTGTCTGTGCAGACAGATGGCCACCAGATGTTGGACACATCAGGCTTATTTTTAAAACACAAAACAAAACAAAACCAAATGCCTTCCACCTACACAGCACAATCATAAGAGATAAAGTGATATATAAATTAATCATAATAATAAAAAATACCACCTGTAAACTTATCAGATTAAATCGGAGGAACATGGATACATGACATATAAAAATTATATCAAGAAAAACAAGCCCAGAATCATATAAAAAAGGGGCATCCAACATTGGGGCACAGTGGCAACACATGCTGACCTGTCATCTCATCAGACCACATAGTGAATGCATCCTGAGATCAACAGGAGACAAACTCCAGTTCTTCTGTCCTTCAGTTTCAGCTTACCTTGATCCCCCTTCTTGATCCAATGCACTCAAAGTGCTTGCTGTCTAGACTTGGGCTTTGAACCAACTCTGCAATTTCATTTCTTTTCTTTTCTTTTCTCTTTTCTCTTTTCTTTCTTTCTTTCTTTCTTTCTTTCTTTCTTTCTTTCTTTCTTTCTTCCTTCCTTCCTTTCTCTTTTCTTCCTCTCTCTGTCTCTCTCTCTCTTTTTCTTTTTTTTGGTACCAGGGATTGAACTCTGGACCTTGCACTTACCAGGCAGGTGTGACACCACTGAGCTACATTCCCAGCCCAACTCTGCAATTTCAACAAGCCCATACTTCAAAAAAGCTCTGCCTGGTCTGTAATCTTAATTGGCCATCTATGGTGACTTTTCAGATCTCTGGGGTTTCTGCCTTTGCTTTTAGTTCTGCCTCTTGAAATCCTGCAGCTGTTGTTAACCCTTTCTTAGATGTTCTGCAACCTGTATATTACTGTGCAAAGTGTGATGTGTAACTTGGGTGCCACAGTATTAGCAACTAAGATTATAATAAAAGAACCTATAATTTCTGGGCATGGTGGCTCACACCTGTAATCTCACCACTCAAGAGGCTGATAAAGGAGGATCCAATGGGAGTTTGAGGCCAGCCTGGGCTACATAGTGAGTTCAAGGCCAGCCTGAACTACATAGTAAGACCCCATCTCAAAAAACTCATCAGCCAATCAAACAAACAACGATTGACTGGCTCATTGGCTATAGAGTGAAATCTTGAGTACTCAGCCAGACAAAGACAATAAAATTGATATAGCTTATGAATGTATTATTATTCAATAAAGTCTGACATTGTGGAAAGACACAAATGTGTCCAATATATGTTAATGGCTAGGCCTCTCATGACACACTCTAACTTTGAAAATAATTCAGTGAGAATGACAAACTGGAATCTTGACTTTTATATGTAGGCTTAGCCAATGACCAAATGGGGTATTTCAATCTCATATTAGCATGACTAAAAAATCTGCATGACTACAACTCATTTTTAAATTTAATTTGTATATGCAACCAATGAATTTGAGTTCTTAACTCATCAAATTATTTTTCTTTCGTGAACCAAAAATATCCCATTTCCCAGATTTTTATTTAATGTCCCTTTTCAGGGAAGATCTAACACAAGTACTTTTCAAGATCTTTAATGAAACTGAAACTGGGATGCAGTACTCCCAAAGTCATTCCTGGAAGCTAGCATTACTACTCAGATTCCAAAACCAGACAAAGGTCCAACCAAAAAAGAGAACTATAGGTCAATATCTTTAATGAATATAGTTGCGAAAATCCTCAACAAGATACTGGCAAACAAAATGCAACCAATCATGTAAAAGAATGAAATTGGACTCCTACGCCTCATACCATATACAAAAATTAACTCAAAGTAAATCATAGATCTAAATACATAAAACTCTTGGAAGAAAATGAAGGGGGCAGATCTTTGTGACCTTATGTCAGGCAGAGATTTCCTAACTAGAACACCAAAAGCACACTGATAAAAGATAAAACTGACATATTAGTCTGTTTTCTATTAGTATTATAATAAAATACCTAAGGCTGGATATTTTATAAAGAAAAGAAGTTCATGTATAGCTCACAGTTCTGGAGGTTCAAGAGCATGGGACCAGCTCAGCTATGGTGGTCTATGGCGATAACTTCATAGACAGCAGAAAAACACAAAGGCAGGAATACATGCAAGAGGGAAATATCACATGGTGAGACAAGAAGGCAGAGAGATGGGGAGAGGCCAGGCTGGTTCTTTAATATCAACCAATCATAAGAACAACTAACTCACTCTGTGAGATCAGTATCCATCCCTTCTGAGTGAGTATCCCAGTGACCTCGGAATCTCCCACTAGGCCTCACATCGAAAAGTCCACCCACCTCTTAATACTGCCACAGTGGGGACCAAACTTCCACCACATGAAACCTTAGGGAATACTCTTCAACTATATCTATACCATGGCAATTAGTAAGTTGGACTTCATCAAAATTAAAAACCATTTATTTATTTATTCATTCACTCATTCATTTATTGAGACAAGGTCTCTCTGTGTAGTTCAGATTGGCCTTGAACTCACTATGTAGCATAGGCTGGCCTTGAACTCATGGTGAGTCTCCTGCCTCAGCTTCCCAAGCACTATGATTACAGGCTGTGACACCATGCCTGGCCAAAACTTTTGATTTAAAAAAATTCCATCAAGAAAATAAAAAGCCTACAGACTGGAAGAAAATATTTGCAAAATCTGACAAGATATTTTTCTGAGACAAGCTCTCACTAGGTGGCCCAGGCTGGCTGCAAACTTAAAGATTTCCTGTTTCAGCTTCCAAAAGTTTATGATTATAGGCATGTACTACCACACCCAGCTGATACAGAATTTTTATCTAGAACAAATAAAGAACTCTTGCAATCCAGTAATAAAAACACAAACAATATAACTTAAAAACGAATAAAGAATAAACTTTTCTCCAAATACATATAAATGGTCAATAAGCACATAAAAAGATACTCAACACTGTTAGTCAATAGGGACATGAAAATCAAAAGCCTAATGAGAACCAGGCGTGGTGGCACACATCTGTAATCCCAGCACTGGGAAGGCTGAGGCAGGAGGATCGCCATAAATTTGAGGCCATCCTGGGCTACATAGTTAGTTCAAGGCCAACCTGGACTACATAAGGAGACCCTGTCTCAAAAACAAAAACAAGGAAAAAAAACACAAAAAACAAAAAAACAAGGGGCCAGGGATTTAGCTCAGTGGTTTTGCCGCCTGCTGCGCAAGCGCAAGGACCCGAGTTTGATCCCCGGTACTAAAAAACAACAACAACAACAAAAACAAAACAAAAAAACCAATAAAACTAGACAATAACAAGTATTGATAAGGATGCAAAAATATTGGAACCCTTATTATTTTTTTTTTTTGGTACTGGGGATCGAACTTGGGTCCTTGCGCTTGCACAGCAAGCGGCAAAACCACTGAGCTAAATCCCTGGCCCGGAACCCTTACACTTCTTTTCTTCCCTTCTCTCTTCCCTTCCCTTCCCTTCCCTCTTCCCTTCCCTTCCTCTGTGTTACTGGGGATTGAACCTAGGACTGAGCCATATCCCCCTTTTTAAAATTTTGAGACAAGGTCTCACTAAGTCACTAAACTGCCCTGTTTGGATTTGAACTTGCAATTCTCCTGCATCAGCCTCCTGGAGTACTAGGATTATAGGTGTGTACCACACCAAACTCCTTATACATTTCTGATGGGAATGGAAAATGGTACATCCAAATGTTTAGCATTTTCTAAATTGTTACACAGTGTTACCAAGAAAGCCAGCAATTTAACCCTAGGTATCTACTGAAGAGAATTAAAAATATATGCATATAAAAACTTGCACACAAATATTCATACAACCATTATTCATAATATCTAAAAAGTGGAGAAAAACCATCAACTGATGAATGGATAAACAAAATGTAGTATATCCATATAACAGAATGTTATCTGGCCATAAAAAGGAATGAACTACTGATACTTCTGCAACATAATGAACCTCAAAAACAATTATGCTAAGTGACAAAAGGCAGTCAAAAAAACTACATATTGTATGATCCTATTTACCTGAAAAGTTCAGAATAGACAAATTTGTATAACCAGCAAGTATTATTGGTGGTTGCTTAGGGATTGGAGAGAATCCAGGAACTAAGGAGTGAGGAATTAATGGGCATAAGGTACAATTAATGAGTATACTTTTAAAAATGATAAACATGTTCTAAAATTAGATTATGATGATAGATTTACATTTCTATAATTACAGTAAAATCACTGAATTTCGTAGTTTCCCTCATGAAGGCAATACATTATATTACTATCTTAAGGACAAAAGCCCACATAATCAATTCAATAAATCTAGAAAAAGTATTTCACAAATCTAATATCCATTCATGATCCAAGTCTCATCAACCATGGATACAAGGGAATTTCTCTAACCTCAGAAAGGACACCTATGAAAAACCTACAGTTAATATCATACTTAATAATGAATATCTAAATGCTTTATCCCTAAGATCAAGAACAAGACAGAGATATCCATTCTCACCTCTTCTATTTAAAACTGGAGGGAAAAAAATCTTCACCTGCTTTTCCTCAGACAAAGGTCTACTATCTCGAATCTATAAAGAACTTAAAAA